TATGAATGTAGCACAAGGCTTCATATATGACTATCATACAAATTTGATTCTAAGATTTCTTGACGCTTTTGATGTTTGCCCACTTTCAGTTATCACACATGCAATGTGAGGAAATCTCACAAGATTAGTCTTCATATTTATTTTTCTTCTCTACCACGAAGAGAGAACGATTGTGACAAATTCTTTGTCTGTCTAATTCTTTCTTTGCTTAATTTTAGCATTGATTTAGATAGCAGCAATTTTTAGTTATAATATTTATCCTTTTATTCAGTCTACTATGCAAAATACTTTTTTATTATTTTTATAATTATGTATATCGAGATTTCCTTTTTATTTTATTTTATGAATAATACTAATAATTAAACGAATCTTCAAAAAAAATGCAAATACAAAAAGAGAGAATTGGTGCGTAAAAGATATCTATTGTTCTTTTCTTTAGAGCTCGAGGATACAATCTGACCGCGATCAATGCACTTTAATGGCAATTTCATGATGCAGCAAGGTCCAGCTTCCGCTCTGCGTGACGAAGCTCATTTCCGGGACAGTTCCGTGTCCCGTCTATTCAGACGGGAACCCTTAACAAGTATTTTTTTCTCCCTTCACGATCATTGACAACTTCAGTCGCTATTTCCTATAGATTGTTTACATACTATGTATTTTGAAAGACAAAAATTAAAATATATTCGCACACTGAAAGAAATATTACAGTTACAATAATTTTACCTCTTCTCTTCCGGATTGTTTATTTTTCTTTGTGAGACTGTTTTATTCTCAATTTCCTACATTGTTAAAATTGGTCTCAGAAGGTGAAAATTATTTTTTAAAGGGGTAACATACGGTTACGTCCATCTTCTCTTTTTCCTCTTCGATTTCGGCGAACTGACGAATAACAGGTTCGCCTTGCAAGGTGAGATACATATCCCTTCTTGTTGTCCCTCCTGGCACGTATATGCACAGGTTGATATGTGCAGGTGCACGATGGATGCACGTCTGGAAAGGCTCGCACACATATACATACATATACGAAGGAAGAGCTTCGCCTGTGGGAAAGTAATGCTACACCATGGGATCCACCGGGCTGGACCGCTACTCTACCAAAGTCCCATAGTATCCTGCATTATGGTCCGTCATGCTCGTCGTAGCTTTCTGCTCGGACACACGGTTGACCACCATGGTTCCGATTTCCCCCCTCGTCGATCCCAAGCAGTTCTCGAGTAGTCAATCGACTTCGTGGAATTTGCATACGAGCGAACGCGTGATGTCTTCATTGTCAGTCATTTAATTCTTTAAATTAAAATTTATTAATATCTATACAACAAAGTCAAGGCAAATTGGATCATAAAAATTTTTAAATAAAAATTATAAATGCGACAAATGTTATAAATGTTTTAATACAATGTTTTGTCTAATTGTATTGATAAGCAAATTGATATAACGCAGTTAAATTATGTATTATTAGCTGCAGTATATAAACAACTGTAGACTGTAAACCGCTATGCAGTTGGCGATAATAACATATTATTTATGTAACGTCATTATACCATAGATTAAAAAATAATAAAAAAATGTGATTGCAGCGTTCTACTAAAGCATCATTAGAATGGTCACGTCGTAGCCTGCTTTAACATGAAACGCGATAATCATTCAACTGTCTAACTTATGTGAAAGAATTATTAAATACTCAAATTAAATTCAAAAAAATTTTGAATGTTAAAAAAAATAAATAAAGAAAATTGAGCATTTAATCATTCTAAAAATATTTATAGGTATTCCAATAATAACTTCACTTATCATAGAAAATTTTGCTACCGCAAAGATCTTTATATTTTATTATTATATAACGTTATATAATGTTATATAATGTATTTTATTATTATATAATTATATTATTAATGTTATATTTTATTATTATATAATGTAACTGATTTCCATATTATCCAGTTCTATATTACTAAATTTTTTTACATCTTTCGTTATGCTCGTAATAAAGAGAACACTCGCAAGCGATATGATACGAAAATATTCGTCACGGCAGCGACCTAACGCGACAGGTCGACGCTCGTACCTTTTGCGTGTCAGCGATAAGCTTATGCCGACTTTATGAGACTCAACGCACGTACGCGCGCACACATTTCGCATTGTCGGCAGTCGCCGCCGCACGCGCATGCACTAGCGAGCTTATCTGCCGATTGCAGCTGCACCGGCGGCGATCTAGTCTGGCGGAGCTAATTGAATTTTCTCCCCGAGATCGTCGTGAGCGAAGTCAGAGCTCAAGAGGTGGAAGGACCTTTCACAGTGAAGTCCCTTGTATCCGCGACAAAAGGCGCGCGTGCAGTTGCACGACCAAATCGCGATAATACGCGTGGCTGCTGCCGTGGAACTCTCTCGTGTTCGCAGCGCGCCGCGATCTCGCGCCGGCTTGATATCAAAGTCACTCATAGTTCTTACTGGCATGCCGCCGTTAGACGAGCGATGTTTTTCCACGACCGACGACTATGGCTACTCGACCCCGACGAACTCGGTGGAAAGAAGAAGACGAGAAATTAAACATTCGATATGCATTCCTTGGAAAACTTTTTACGAATGGTTGACAGATGTAAAAATATACAAAGTCGAGTCAACGAGCTTTAATTAGATCCTTTGTTTACTATATTATTTATTTATTTATTGTCAAATCCGTAATACAGATTATAATTAAAAGACAATTGAAGAAAGTTGAATTTTCATCACGTATTTTATAGTCTGTTCAATTTCAACTCAGATTGTGATGTTCTGAAGTATTATCTTTAAAGACACCCCTCATTTTCGACGCGCCTACGTATCCAAGATTGGCCTCGAATTACATGTGTCGACCACCCCGTTGCAGTTGCCGCGTCATAAATGCCACCCAGGTGCCTAATCACGCTCCTTTCCTTTCGAAGCCTACACCTTTCCGAGTACCTGCAGATTGATCGACCAATGCTCCATTCAGACGACTTTATTATAGATCACCTTAAAAGATCATCATTGGAAGGCGTAACGTAGTTGCAATATTGGTTGGAAAATTCAATCGTGGGACGTACCGGAAGACGAGGATTTATTTCTTCTTCCATTACGAAAACACATGCGATTGCACATATGCGATTCTACGCTGACGCAAATGCAAATACACGCGATTTAGATCGCGGAATATAATGGCGGCTAAGTAGCTATAAATACATAATGCGCGTTTCCCTCGAATCGACGAATATCGCAGCCGCGAGTCATTGTTTTTCCTAACGGGCGCGTAACTAGTTTATTAAATCAAAAAGGGAAGCGTATACAACACCATTGAGCGACTCGAGCTCGACTCCCACGTACGTCTCTCACTTTTCTCTCGTAAAGACGTAAGCCCTTCTTTCTTCGACGTGAACTCGACGCCCATGCAGTCGCTCGTCGAATAATCACGTAGGATGCGACTCTAACGTTTTATTTTTTTTTTCTTTTCGAAAGTGACAGGTACAGACGTATATGTAAAATATCGCTTTGAAGAGGCAAGAATGAAGATTTGTCGGTCGAGTACGAGTCAGATAAATGATCTTTTAACTTCATAGCCGGATCGCTTGAACATCAATTATTGGACTTGTTGAAAAATTTTAATTAATTTTTATGCAATTAGCATGAAAAAAGTAATTAATTGATTTTTGTAATATAATGAAAAATATTTTGTGTTTATAAAAATAAATATTTTAATATTAAACAATGTATCGAGTTTCACGTTACACATTGTTCTATTCGCTTTCACAAAATTTCTCACTCTCGCAATTGCGATTACGCGACAAAATGGCTGAAAATATACGAAAGAGAGGGAAATTCACAGGAACTTATGTGCCATGGATATTAAGTCGCTGTCGCGACATTCTCGGGTCCTATGATGATGATTACCTTAACGAGCGCGCGCTACCGTTATCGCATAATAGTTTCTTGCACACGTCTCTTACCTCAGTCTCGAATCCGCGGAGAATCTTATACGCGGAACAACTAATAGAAAATAAAATTGCCGGACGTGCTTATCTGTAACGACCGAGGAACCTATCGAGGACTCTTTCCCCACGGTGTGAAACTCAACTGCCATATACGTGTAGTTCACTTCTCTTTCAACAATACAACGCGGAACTTGCTGAGCGCCACATCTGAAATCTTAATTTATTTACGTAATAAAATAATCTCGGATTGCTTTTCCGTCAGAGCTACCGCCTTTTCCGACTTACAAGGGAAGCTTTCGGCTTTCGGGTCACCGATTTCGCCGAAATTTTACTAAAATATATATATATATGTTCAGCAAAATATCATAGTTCAGCAAAATCGGTGACCCGAGGCCGGCAACCTCCCTTGTAAGCTTCATAAATTATTTCGCATGATAGCCCACACGATAGTATTTGACAACAAATACTATATTTTATATTATATATAAATTGTATAAATATGTTATAAAAATATGATGAAAACGTAAAAATAATTGTTATACAACAATAATCCGTTGTAATCTGTTTTATTAAATAATATTAAATATATAATATTATATAACATATAATATTAAGTATATAAATTAGAATCTTAAAAAAATGATGTTCATTAATATTACACTTCATCAACAATTTTTAATGTATCTAAATGCATTAGTATCTGCATATAATATATTTATAATCTCTACATTCTGCGCACGAATACTCAATTTGCGATAATCCCATTAATCTCTTCCTTCGTATCCTAGGCGAGCATTTTACATTCTCGTCGCCGCGATATAAGGAAGAGTCCTGGAGAGAGTCGGGTCTGTCTCCTCGAGCGAACGGTCCGGCTGGTTCCGTGGACATACGGCCTTCTTCTTGCAAACGACGTCACGCACGTATACAGAGATATACGCACATGTACGCGAGAATATAGTGGCGTACACTACGCAAGAAGGTTGTTCTCTTTCCTCCGCCTCGTCCGTTCGCTGGCGCAGCTTACTATGTCGGCTTACTCGCGCGTTCGTCAGTCGGGACAGAACGCTCGCGGAGCGCGCACCGCGGTGTAATCATCGGCGTGTGTTTCCAATATTAATATCTCAAATTCCGTCGAACTTTTTCCGAAAAAAACTCTTTATTCTTTATAAGATGTCTCTTTAAATAAACAATTCGAGGACGCTTCGTGTGACATGCGCAAAGCGACCTGTTTACGTGAAATCGAAATGCGCGCCGGAAATCTGTTCTCGTGCATTCTGTCGATTGTGACTGATGGTGAATCCGTTCTTGTGTTGTGACCATCGGGCGCGAATTACTCTCTGAAGTTTAAGACAGTGATGATCTCGATGTCGCACATTCATCTTTGAATATTTGCCGCGTGTTGACGCGCGGGCAATCGCGAGTGCGCAGGCCGCTCAGCTGCGAATTTATTTAAAGTGAGTACAGGAAATACATAAAATTTGTATTTAATATTACGACATATTGTTTTTTTTTCTTTTCTTGAGAAATTAGAAAATATGAATTTCCTTTTTTTCCATCACGGCGCCTATAGTGATATACCGATGTGTCCTTCGTATATGCACGTGACATCGCAACTCGTCGATGATGCATCGCAGGAAACACTAATGTTTCTTATTACAATTCTAAATGGAAAATTTTGCGGCGCGTAATTAATATGCATTATGTTTCAAAATATCCAGAAAGATTTTATATACGTGTAGAATTATTTATTCATTTACATAAGAAATATAAACGAATAAATTATATATTATCAAATGTTGCGTATTTTTGAGAAGGAATATAAATATATAAAATATATAAAATACAGTTAATAAAAATAAAAAGATATAAATAATAAAAATATTATAAAAATATAATGTGCAATAACAAAGAGACAAAGGGAAAGACTATTCTTCTTAGATTAATTCTTATCGTAATATCTCGCAGTTGGCGGAAAGACATCCGTTCACTTTGCATATGCGATCTTTGAGCTTCTAACGTAACGTCATCCGCGATTTCAATGTTTACTCGAGCGCGCAAGGTTTTCCTTGCTTTTCACGAAGTGGGCATGCGTGAACGTCATTTCGGCCATCACAACCGTCTGGTTTCACTCCGATGTCAAATTATACGGACGTTCTTAAAGTGTACCGTTGGGAACGTCCGTTTTCCTATGAGCGAGCTTCCCGCCACTTTCCACGTTTGTTCAGCCTAGCAATCACAACAGTTAGACACTACTTATCGAAAGACCGCCGCACCAATTACAGTTTTTCTACGACCTTGCTAGAGGAAACGCACAAAGAGATTAATTGAAACGTAGGCTGCTTTATGTTACTTCCAGTAAATACTCTTAAGAATATATTATACCGCCGGAAATCCACGCCGAGTGAAACTCAGAGCGACAATTTCACTTGTATTTTTTTTTATGTAGTAGTTCTCAAAAGTAGTTCTTTATTTAAACGGGATTGCAATATTACTTCCACTTATTACTTCCACTATATAGGTCTTATAGATAATAAATTTTTTACAAATTTTATATTAATTTAAATTTATCCTTATTTTGCGGGTTATAAATTTATCCTTTTATGCAAATTTTCTCAGACAAATCGATTATTTGAGCGTAATTATAGACGAAGAGAAATATGAAAGGAATATCTAATAGAATGAAAGAATTAAGAACTGTTATCGCTATCGGATCTGTTAGACTGGTTAATTAATCGAGATTATAGCCGGTTGTATAGAGAGTCGTATTGCTGGTTGTTCTTTTTCCCCAGTTCAATGCTCGCGATGTAATGGCAACCGATCCATGAATCCTGATTCCAGGTAAGAACAAGAAGGAATGTTGAAGCACGTGTCAATCTCGCCGTGGAGAGGGCGGGCAGACAGTGTGAGCCTCTCTTCCAGCGGCGGCGCGAGTAGCTGCGGAAGCGGAAGTCCTACCCCCGGTCACACACCACCGCCCTCGAGAGCGTCCTCATGCGCGTCCCTAGCACCCTTAACAGCCTTGTCGAGCTTCTCTCCGGCTGATACCGCGCCCCAGCAGGTGAGCACTATGATTATTTTCCCACACATTTAGTGAGACTATTTATGGTGGTTACTTACCGGCAAAATCCGGAAACGGAAATCGGGGATTCCACTAGACCCCCAGCGCTGTATACTTTTTACAGAAAAATATTACTTTCGATTAATGTAAATGTTCGATAAAATTTACTTATTTTATGGCAACTAAAAGAAATTGCCCGTGAAAGAAATTTATTCGACAAGTATATGAAAATTATTCTGGAATATTTTTTTTATTTTATAGTAAACGCGATATAATCTAAAATACTGCCGTATAACGTGAATGAAAGTATGATACGGCTATTATTATAGCATAACGCGCGATGGTTTCATGTCGCCCGCAGGAAACGGTTAAGAACAACGCGGGAGAGTGTAAAAAGCAGCGATGTTACGTCCAATAAAGCAAATGAGGAGAACAAAACGGCATTCGCGGGCGGTCTGCTGAGTGACGTAAAGCGGTTTAGCGAAAATGAGAGCACATGTTTTCTGAGTACTTATTAACAGCTGAACCACGTGTATATCTGCATGACAGCTCCTGATGGATTCATCATATTTAATTCATGATTATTCCTGTCGTAATTCACAAAGCGTCACACTTTTATTGAACATAACTATAATAAAAAAATAGATTAAATATATAATAGATCAATAATATAGCAATAAATCGTTTAATCATAAAATATTAATAGATATAGAATTATTGTTTATAAAAAAGTGACTTTAATGGCTAAAATAATAATTGTATTGTAAAATGAATATTTGGGATATCTATGAGATTGTTTGAGTCCAATTTCAACGACAGTCGCATAATTTCTCACGGCTTTTGAAGTCAATACTATAGTGTGACTGCACGACATGCATCGTGCGGTTTCGCGTCCCTTTTTGCGAGGACAGAAACATGACTCTCTGGAGAGCTTTCGTCCCAGGAAGGCGTTTAGGAAGAGCGTATTTTTCTTTACCATATGTAGACCATGGCTGAACATATGCTTATTATCATCCAAAATCTTGCTTTTTTCTCGCTCGAGAAACATCAGGCATTTTCGAAGTGATTGAGTATATTTCTTTAAAATTAAATTCTTTTTATGCGAAAAAATAACTTTGAAATAATTTAAACAGAGACGTATACACAAAGTAAACTCAACGAAGCAGTCTCTAGGTATTTCCCGATGTAAAATAATACAGACAGTTGTGAGCGATAAAATGCAAGAGTTTTCTTGGGCGATTAAGCATTTTTGTAACTTCGCACGCCTGATTACGATCAGGGTTGATGCATTTAAAATTTTTATTGCACTCGCGCAAATGATATCCTCGTTTCCACTCGAGTTCTAAATATTACACGCGCGATTCTCCTCGATGCCTATGCCGCGAAGACTTTTCATTGTATTTACGCTTGTCTGACCCGTTTCGCACGCGGGTTGCAAAGGTCGTCGAAGAATATATAGCTGCTTCCGTTAGTCCGTCCAAGATACCGGTCGTGTGCCTCTATATATAATTATATATATATCATAAATATTTTTTTAATGTAGATATTTAATTAACATTATAATCATTATATTATAATTAAAAATATTATATTATAAATTAACATTATATAATACAATGATTTTATTTAATTCAATAAAGATCCATAGGCAATGTTAAACACAATATATTATTTTTATATGGCCATGTTCAGAATTAAATTTTTGATTATGAGATATTCATGGAGCAATAAATTCTGGAAATATCTTTATTGTGACGAGAAGTCTTTTTATCATCTTTTTATCGTAAGAAGTAGTAGAAAGTAGGGATCCCTGTTTTCGAAGCATAAGATACGTATATACTGTAGTTTTTGTCGCTGGAACCCCGAGAAGATTCTCTGTGAGAACCCCGCATACCATGATGTCACACATATTGCAAGCATGTTCACAATGCGCAGTGAAAAACTAAACGAGCTGCGGTGGCTGTAGCGGATTCACTTAATCGTTGCTGCCGGTCTACGCACAATTTTTTTATCGCTGGATCACGATTAGGCGGTATGTTTTCAGAGAAACCTTGGACCAATTACCGACACTTGTGTGAATTTTATATTTTTCTCAATTAACACTGGAATACTAGACACGTGAGAGAAGCGCGAGAGAAGCTATCGCTTGATCACGTATTTTAATCTTATTGTTTTTAACTCTTTTTTTTACGTTTTTCAACCCTTTTACATTTCACTTCTGATATCAATAAATACTACAGGAAGTAATTGAATATTATCTTGAGATAATGAGTTATATATCACACATAAATCTATATGTGAAATCGAGTTTTATGTTCGCTATGTTTCTAGTTCCGGACTTGTCCTAACCCTTGCCATATCCGGCGCAATAAACCGTGTTCCGGCTTTAGATTTCTTTGTGATTTCTACAGTGCATTGTTGATCGATAAATTAAACGTCCTTATCTCTGTTGAACATTAAGTTTTTATTGAATATGAATTATGAATTCGCAATGCTACATTGAATTTTAAATATCAGTCATTTCTATGTTCTATGTAATATCATGTTTCTATGTAATATCAGTCATTTCTACGGATATCTAGTTATGATATTTTTACAATTTTATAAATCGAATATTAAGCCTAACAAATTTTCTTTCTTAGACAAAGCATAAATTGAGCTTGGCATGATGATCGTGACGAAATCATCTTCGGCACGACATGTACGATTGTGTGTAGATTTCGAAAACGTTCATTGTCCCATAATTCTCTCGAAGTAGGAGCGTTTCTCGCATCGGTGACTCGAAGAAGGTCGAATTTACGGCGTTAGCGGACCTTTCTTATTCACATCGAAGTGCTCATGATCCAAGGCCGCGTAGCTGCAAACTTTGTTATCGGCATACCATCATACTTTCAATATTTTATATCCAGATATCCATCACCATGCAATTGTACAGTAGCTTTTAAATAAATTTTGCATTAGAGTATAACAAAAACTAAAATTCGTTTATTTATAAAAATAAGTGTCAAAAACTTTCATGGCATCCATATGATCCAGTCATCTATCATATGATTGCATAATATGACATATTCAACAGAGATATCTTCCTTTTACAATTGTATATCTCCTGATTAACTCTGTAACTGACCGCGCCGTCTCAGAATCGCAATTACACGGGTATTTACTCGAGAATCATTGGTCATTATATCATCACTCGCGTAATCAAGTTAATCTCGGGTTCCTCAGGACATCCAGGTACGCACGATTATGTACACGTACGTGTGAGAATAAGAACGTTCATTTGACATCGTTTCCGCCACTGTAGATTCATGAGCAACATGCCTTTTCTCTTCCTGCTCCGATTCTCCCGCTCGCGGAAGGCGGGACGAAGAGCACACAATAAAAATTGTCTGTTTGCGTTAATTATTACGTGCCGCCTCGCCCGCATGACACCGACGCGAAAGGAAGAAACACGGGGCAAAGAGACAGAGAGAAGCAAAGTCAATGCTTTTCACTGCGGAAGAAAGAGGAAAACCCGTACGACCACGAATGGCGGCACATAATAGCCTGTAATCAGGATACAGTTCATCTAAGAATCCTTACTCTAATATCTAAGAATAATTTCTTTATTACGCGGAACGCACAACGGAATATAATTGTCTGAGGAATTCTTCTAAATGATAATGAGACTTTCGTTCGAAAGACGAGCTTATTTATCGCATATTCGGAATCTTCTGTGCCGATCAGCTTTCCGATCCGGTTCTATCGCTATCTTTAAGTATTTATGGAACATTAAACATGCAGTGCGCCGTTCCTTCTGTTATGCCGAAGATAATTATAGATTATTATCTGTCTGCATTTTCTGTAAGAGGGGGTAAGGGACGAGATGAACTCTTCTGCTCTCGGACGGATTGGAGGCTTAGGAGCCTTTTACCGAATGGACGATCTTAAGCAAACACACTGCCGCCATACGAAAACACTTCGGTCCTAATAAAAAGCGAGAACCACAGCTACCACCAGTTTTTCATCATCGGTGGTGTGGAATTTCTCGTTGTTGATATAATCGGGATGACATGCGCCACAATCGTTCTCGAAATCGATCTCGTTTATACGTGAAAACATACACTGAACGACATCGTATCGCACGTAAAAGATAAATATTTTTATCAGAAAGATCTCGAATGCAATTATTAAAGAATATAGGTCGGTAATTTTTTTCTTTTCTTTGAAAATATGGAGATATTATCGCGAAGTTTGCTGTAACAATCTCTTATCACGTGGAGGAAGAAACCAATGATTGCATGTTGAGATTACAATGCAAGAGTCGGAAGTATGTTAACTAACACAACTTTGTGGAAATCATCATGCATACGATAACCAATCGGATCCGGAAATGTCATTGAATAAAACAGGAAATAGATTGTTTATCGAAAAATAATTATCAGAAAGGATGTCTAATATAGTCATATTTGAGATTAGACAAATATACTTTTAAATAATAATACAGAAAATTATAAAATAAACTATTATATTATATTAAATTATAAAATGAAATATTGAGTCCTTTTATTATGCGGTGTCTAGAGACATTAGAGTGATTCTCCAGTGTAATGTTTTTTCTTTGATACATTTTCTTCGATGGCGATTTAATGTTCCGTAGACGCGATGCGGGGAGAATTCATCAATCGTTTCATTCATATTTCGCTACTAATATCTGTGAATGAGAAAAAGGATTATGCCGCTCTCGCGCCGTTATCTCATTTGATATTTGAATCTCATTCTATTCTTATGAACAACGCTAATCAGTTTTATTTCTTTACGGATATGAAGGCAGTTCGTGGAAAAACGGGTAAACGGCACTGATAAGGTAGAAAACCGCCAATAAAATTGAGACGCTAACGAGGCAGATAAACGAAAAGAAGAAGCTGTTCTATCGTCTTATTTATAGAGATCAATGTGTCCGGTTTATAATAAAAAAGCGGAAGTTAGACTACAAATTCAACTAATTGACGACCACAGGA